AGACGGTTCAAGTGGTGTCCGAAGTAGTGGTTCAAGTAGGTGTCGCAAATGGTGCAGAAGTAGGTGGCCCAAGTGGTGGTGGTGAAGTAGGATTCCCAAGTGGTGCCTGATTTGGGAATTTTTATTGTTACAATATGTTTGGATAACTAAGTAATACTGGTTATTGTATTTGTACTACTATGTTCGAATTTGGATAACTACGTAATACTGGTTATTGTATTTGTACTACTATGMGTTGAATTTTCATTGTTACYATCATTTATATATGTGTTTCAATTATTTATGTGTTTCAATTATATGTGGCATACGAACATCTCATTGTTAATTTTACTTTACAAAATTATTAAAAAAAAAGTTAATATATATGATTATTCTCCCACAATCACCTTAGAACAACCTTACACTTTAAAGAAGGGTTTGTAAATGTGAAATACTTTACGAAGTGAAACTCTAGAAAAATGTGTTTCTGCAAATATGATGGTGCATAATCATATGAAATGTGTTAGAAATTTCAAAAATGAACTAGACCACTGAAAATTTATATTTTTAAGTAGATATAACTGGTTAAGTAGGTAAGACGTCAAAAGGACAACTATGTGTTCTATTTGTAACACTGAAATATTTGGGATAACTATGTGTTATATAAGAAGCACATGTCTTAAATCGTGGCATAACGGCGCACACGTGGGTTTTTATTTGAAATTTTAAACACATTTTTTGGGTTTTTTTAAACACATTTTTTTTTCAAATTTATGGGGTTTTTATTTAAATTTTTCCCAGAAAAGTTAAAAAAAAAAACGAAACATAATTTTTCCCAAATCGAAATCTAGGGTTTCTCTGCCCTTTCTCCGATTGCGACCACGAGCTCAAAATCGAGTCTTTCCGCCATTTCTCCTGCCAATTCGTCAATAGCAATGTCTCCGTAAGTTTAATCGCCCTCAATTTTAGTCAATTTAGCTTGTATTAGGAAGAATACAGATATGAATCACACTCAATTTTGTATAGAAAATGGGTAAATGGAAACGCATTGGCATGTTTGGTGAGGAGTTCGATACTGGGTCCAACAACAGCGGCTCATTATCTTCGGATGACGAACTCATCCTCCCCAATATGATTATATGGCAGATATCACTCCGACTCGTTTTCCTCCGACTCCGGAGACATGGGAAGCCTCATCTATTAGCATTCCGACCATATGTTACTGTGGAAAACCAGCTATTCTTAAGACTCAAACAATTGGGTTGTTGATTGGTCAAAAATTCTACTCTTGTTCTGGTGATATTCGTGTAAGTCCAACTTATCCATTTTGTGTTTATGTGATAATGTGAAGGATGGAGATTGCCATATTTAGAAGGAGTTGGCTTTTGCAATCTTGGAGGAGATTACTTTAACCAAAACCAAATTGGGAGAAATAGAAGATCACCTTTTGCAAGAGCAGAAGAAAGTCGTTACCTAAGAGAGATGGCTTGCAGACTTCATGCAAAGGTAGAGGATTTGATGATGGAGTTGGAGAGTTGAAGTGAAGAAGAGCTTATCCTTGTTCCTTGTTTAAGTACTTTTATTTTTGTTTAAYGAATCTTTGTTTAGTTTAATTATTTTTATGGTTGTTCAAGAGATCTTTGTTTAAGTACTTTTATGGTGGAATGGTTGTTTGAGGAATCTTTGTTTAATTACTTTTAAGTATCTTTGTATGC